TAAAAACCCCAAAATCCTCAGGATCTGTCGTTCCGACGCGTACGGGAGCGCGACAGAAGTTAAAAGAAGCCGTACAGAAGCGAACAATCCTGCAGTAACGGCGTTCATTTCCCATCATTTTCCCTTGTAAACTAGCTACTGTAGCCGCGGAATGTTGAACGATTTCTGGGGGGGTGATCGCAATGATGCACGACACCCCGTCGGTGCAGTAACGCCCCTTGCCCCCCCTCCTGATGACTCTATGACTTTGGGAGCTCCTACCGTGAGTTCAACAACAGCGGCGTTCCTAGCGAAGAGTGGTTTCCCCTTGGAAGGTACCGGCGTTGAGCGTGTGTACAACTCAGAGGTTGAGATGGAGGACGAAGAGATCACTACGAGTGAGTCTGAAAAGGAACCCCAGCAGCTGGAGAACAAGGTCAAGGTCTTGCGGTATGCCCTGGAGCAAGAAGGAAAGGACTACCCGGACAAGTACCAGCAGCTTGTGGAGGAACGTCTTGAATGGGGACAGGCGTTGCTACGTGAACGTGATCGCAGAGATCTACGGCGAGTTGCCAAAGTATCACCAGGAGAAGCTGGGGATTATGAAGTGGAAGAAATACTGGGCGGACTATGTGGGCCACTAGAGGTAGTGCACAACGTGAGTTTACCAGAAGCACGTCGCCACCTTGACAAATGGAAGGCTGCAATCTTGAAAGAGGTCGAAGCTTTGGTCAACAGCGGTACGGTAAGAAGATTATCGGCCGAACAAGCAAGAGAACTCAAGAAGCAGGGCATGGTCGTTTTGCCGGGCAAGGCGGTCTTTACGGCAAGGCCCCCAAGTGATCAAGGAGGAGACGATGCAGAAAAGTTCCGGCGTAAATGTCGGATCGTTGTATGCGGCAACTACCTACCCAGTGACAAGGCCAATGTGTTCGCGTCAGGAACTTCGGCAGATGGGCTTCGAGTTTCGGTGGCATTTACAGTGTTCAAAAGGTGGGCTGCAGCGGCCACAGACATATCTAACGCCTTTACTTTGGCTCCGATGCCAACGGATAGGTTGTTTGGCATGACGCCGCCCGCTATAGTGACAGCTGCAGGAGGAGCTTCGCCTGGGGAAACCTGGGTAATCCAACGGGTCTTGTACGGCTTGAGAGAAGCACCCAGGTGGTGGGGAGTGTTCAGGAATGAGCGCATGGCAAATGCAAGGATTCCGTTTGGAGATGAGGTGATTATCCTCGCGTGCCTCGAGACCGAAGAAAACATATGGAGAATATACTTTGAAGGGTGTTCGGACATCCAAGGAATACTTCTGATCTACGTCGACGATCTGCTTCTGCTGTCGATGCCGGGAATCATAGAGACGATTTACCAATGGTTGACAGCGGAATGGAAGTGTTCACCACTACAGTGGATGGATCAAGAATACCTTCGTTTCCTTGGTGTGGAACTGCGGACAATGGGAAGTGGAATACACGTTTCACAGGCTGGGTACATACGGGACCTACTACGACAGCATGCAGTGGAAGAAAGACCAGCTTCGCTTACAGTTCCATGTGCTAGAGAATGGTTGCAAGATGATGATTCAGATGAAGACCTACCTGTTCCAGAAGAGTCAGTGGTGAGGTTGGCTCAAAAGGCGACTGGGGAATTACTATGGCTTTCGACGAGGTCGCGACCGGAGTTGGCTCACCCTGTGGCTTGTATGGCGGCAAGGGCGACAAGGAATCCGACGAAGACTTTAGAGATAGCCAAGAGAGTCCTCAACTACTTGTCGCGGACAGCAGAATATGGGCTACACTACGTCGTGGACCAGGAGGAGACGCTACTTACCGTCTACTCGGATGCATCATACGCTCCAGGCGGCGGACGTTCGTTTGGGTGCATTATGGCCCAGATAGCAGGGATGCCAGTGTGCTGGAGAGCATCAAAGCAACCGGTAATAACACTTTCTGTTGCAGAAGCAGAGCTATATGAAGCGGTGTCAGCAGTACAACTGGGACTGGGGGTTGCGGCAATCCTTAGTGAGCTTGGACAAACGCCAGTTATGCACTTGAAGATAGATAATGCAGCTGCTCAAGGGTTGGCCTCCGAGTCTCCAGGGAGCTGGAAGACCCGGCACTTGAGGCTACGTGCTCGGTTCCTACGTCAAGAAACAGCAGCCCAGAGACTCACCATAACGCACGTTCCGGGGGAGTTTCAAAAAGCTGACTTGGGAACGAAAAGCTTCGATGTGCCAAAGTTTCGTTCACTGCTGGAATTGTGGAGGTTGATTCCATTTGGGTTGCAAGAGACGGCCGAGATTGCAGTGAAGACGGTCAAGAAGTTGAACAATCAAGGGATTGTCATGTTTATGATGGTGTGCCTGATGATGATACAGGGAGCGCGTGCAAGCATTAAAGATGATCTTCCCCTAGACACCTCCATGGAGCTCTACGTCATCGTGGTGTTGGGGCGTGGCTATATGGGAAGTGGTTAAGCGGTTCTTTAAGTACGTGAAGTCGCTATGGACATCATGGAATAAGAAGCAGAAAAAGTTGGAAAGACTTCGTGGGAAAGCTGAAGCAGCTGTTCGTGAAGAGTTAAGACGACAACGAGAAGCGCAAACTCCTCCTATGACGAGACGGGCTACAGATGTATATGGCACCCCTTCACGCAATGAGTCAAGGACAATTCCGAGGGCAAGTGGATCAACGTCAGGACCGTTAACCACCAGGCCAGTGACTACGTGTTCCGTAGGGACACAAACAGATGATTGGCCAGGAATGATAGAGACAAGCCGGCTGGTCAACTTCGAAGGTCCATTTTGGATCTCAGCAAACGGAGATAAGGTGCATTTCGTTCAAGGATGTCATGGACTACGGAATGCGCATAGACCAGCAAAGGCCTATACCTTATGCAACTACTGCGATCGAGAGAAGCCCCTCTTCGTGGTTATGCCTTCAACAGGCCTGTAAAAGGCAAGGAGGAGTGCTGAAGAATAGCTGTCGTCGCAGTGTTTGCATCATGATGAGCACCGTCAAGTGACTTGTAAAGCTGTGCAGAGTCGAAGGATGCTCCGAACTGAATGTTGGCTCAAGGAAAAAGAAGCGCGATAGGCCTTCACGGGAGGCTTTCTAAATTCGATAGCAGTGTTCGTTTTCAGTGATGGACGATGCTGCTGACAGTCGGGGAGACCATATAAGACCTGCTGATTTGAGTGCCCTTCCTACTGCATATGAACAACAGGTTATGAGCCCAAGTGGCATTGCTGCGCAAGGGCGTGAGACAACACAGAGGCGTTCGCAGATGCTGAACGGAGTTGATAGGGTTGTGGGTCCGAGCCAAGGAGTTGATCAAGATGACGGTGCTTTTAGGCAGGCCTTGGAAACCGGATCGGGCGCGACGTCTATGAACACCGGACCGGGCGCGACAGCAACGAATGCTGCGACTGGAATATCGGCAACTGCGGATGGGAGTTCTCCTATTGTACCAACGGGTGAAATGATGACGTCGGTGGGCAGTGGTCAAGCAGAGGTTTTTACTACGGCTACAGAGATTGAGGGCCGAAGTCGCGATCCCCCGCTACTACCACATGCAGCGGTGGAACATGGTGTGCCTACGAATGAGGGCGATTCTATGTGGCCGTCTCCAATGCCGTCCCCAAACACGACAACGTTACAGCATGGGCAAGGTTCTACAACCGCGGCCCAGAGAGCTGGACAGAATGCAAGTTCTACGGCTATGAGGTGGTTTTCACGACTAGGAGAGTTTGTTCAAAGGCATGCGACAATGGTGTCTCAGTCGAGGCCAGGAATTGAGGCGACTGTTCTTCATGAGACGGTATGGTCTCCAAGCCGAGCGCGGACTACGGCGGAGGAAGGACCACTGTTTGACAGGATGCAGTCAAGATGCCTTCGTGAATTATCTACGCAAGCTCCGTTACTGTATGGACAGCAGCAGCAGGCAGCGCCGGAGTCCGAGTCATCGGGTTCGTACTCTCGCGAGCAACTGGAAGCTGAGGTTCGGAGACAAGTGGAGCAAGCAATGCGAAACCAACGGGGCCTGACCGAGGAAAATCAGCGTCTTCGTCAACAGGTGGAGCGCCTCAGCAGAGAGGCGGCACAAGGCAGGGAGACTGATCGACGGCAGGTCACATTGGAGTTAACAGATGGTGTTACAGAGGGTTATGGGAGAATGAGGGATTTGACTACAAGTTCCATGGTTTCCGGGAGAATGTCGAATGCTATGGCAAGTACAATGGTTTCGGGAGTATATGTAGGCAATCCTCCTGGACTTTCTGGACACGATCGCGAACATGGGGGACAACAGGGAATTCCTTCAGGCGGCGTAGAACCCGGAGGCAATCCACCAGGACTAACAGGACATGATACTAGCCAAGGAGGTGAAGAGCTTGGGCGGTATGGAGTACCTGAAGGTAATCCTGCTGGACTTCCGAGACACGATCGCGAACATGGGGGTCGGCCTGGTGTCGAGCAAGGACGGTCAAGGTCAAGGAGCAGTGAGCGGTACCAAGGGCTGTCGCAGGGATGCAATGTGGGGTTCGTAGATAACGCTACTGGGAGCAACCTAGATGGGCTTCAAGGAGGTGATCTTCGAACAATGGATGGTAGTAGATATCTAGATACAGTTCCTGGAGGCAATCCTGCTGGACTTTCGGGACACGATCGCGAACATGGGGGTCGATTTAGAAATATGGATACAGTTCCTGGAGGCAATCCTGCTGGACTTTCGGGACACGATCGCGAACATGGGGGTCGTTTTAGAAATATTTACATGCCTGCACCGGGTATCTCTGGTCCTATACGCAATGACATGCCTGCACCGGGTATCTCTGGACAAGCTCATAACAACCTTTTGGGTGCCAGAAGGGCTAGCAGTTCACCGCCAAGGGGATCCGCAGCGGCAAGCGAGCATGGTACAGGAGCCAACAAGACCACGCCGAGTACGAATCCCATGGAGGCGCTGATGCAGGGCATGTCGCAGTTGCAAGCAGCGATGGCGATGCAGATGGGTATGGCAGCAAACAAGCCAGAAGTGATACGACCAGGGGTTAGTGGAGCCGAGCTACCCAAACTACCTGAAGCTGATGAGCAAGCGGCCATAAATGTTGGGGATTGGCTTCATGGTTTAGCAGGCCCTATGGGAGATCTGACGGATGGCAGCTCGAGATGGTGGTCGGAGGTTTTAGTGTCACTCGACAACTTTTACCGGGACTATGTGGCGGCGTCGACGGTAAAGAAGGTGCAGATGAAAGCTGAGGACTACGCGACGGCCGAGCTGAGGGACGTCAAATGGACGCGGTTGGATAAGAGAGCGGCGAGTATGCTGTTGCAAGCTGTACCGGATGGACTCAAAGCGGAATTGATGGCGAACCGCTTGAGCTCTACCATATCTATCTTGGGAAGGATCCTTACGATCTACCGTCCGGGTTCAGCTGCAGAACGACAACAGGTACTACGAGCTTTGGAAAATCCAGGTGGCGGGAACTCACCGAGCGAGCTAGTGGAGGTGCTACGAAGGTGGATGAGATGGCTGAAGCGGGCACAAGACCTAGGACTTCAAGTACCAGATGCAAGTATCCTCTTGAAAGGCCTGGACACAGCCACCAAGCATCAACTGGAAAGGAACACGGAAATCGTGTTTCGCAGCAACATGTTGCGCTACAGTCTGGACCTAGATGCGTCGCCAAGTATCACCAACGTTCTCCGCTACCATGGACACCTGTTAGCAGAGTTTGAACAACTGTCGTTCAGAGGGAGATCCCGCACAGGTGGTCCTACGTTGCCTACGGTGAAGAATGTTAGCACGCCTAACGAAACAGGCGCTGGAAACACACCGAAGACCGGCACGTCCCCAACTACGGGAACTTCTTCGAAGCCCTGCAAGTTCTTCCTCTCGGATACCGGCTGCCAACGGGCAGCTTGTCGATTTCTTCATGACTGGCAAGGAGTACCAAGAGAGGATCGCTCGGACAAGTGCAAGAACTGTGGGGCCAAGGGACATATGAAGAAGTTTTGTCCGTTGAAGGGTTCTGAGGGGAATCGTCGGACAGAGGAGGCAAGACCTTCCGGACCTCCCAGGATAAAGAACGTCAGCCAGGAAAAGCGCGAAGATGGAACCATACCCACTGGAGAGGCTCCTGCAACCTCAAGTGGCTCGGCAGCGGCATCCTCAAGCTCTACGACTCCTCCTACAACAATGACTATCCCGAGTTCTACTTCGCCTACGACAATGCCTAGCAATGAGGAGTTCTTACGCAATGCCACTCAGATCCTTAAGATGATGGCCGAACAAAGTTCGATGTCCACGACAATGCCATCTACGAAGATGCTTCAAAAGGCAGTGACAGAGATGGAAGCAAAAATGGCACTGGTGGATTCGGGAGCAACACATCCTCTACGACAAGTTACGGTTCCGGAGTGGGATACTTCCAATGAAGTGGACGTGCTGATAGCGGGGGACGGCGTGGCACGGATGAGACAGAATGACACCGGAACTGTGCTCACGGCACCGACAGCACCAAGGACGCAAACAATATTGCCGGTTGGAGGACTGGTGTCGATACTGGGCTACGAGCTTGTCTGGACAAAGAAGAAATGTGCACTGAGATCTCCAGAGGGCCGAGAGATTCCGCTAAGAGTTACAAGCGGATGTCCGGAAATCAATGAGGCTACAGCTTTGGAGTTGATCGGGAAGATCGAGGAGGAGAAGTTGCAACAGCTTGAAGGCCAAGGCGACGAGAATGGCGATGTTGAGAGCTCAACAAGTTGAAGGCTGGGAACAATGGGAATCCAGTTTGCGGGAGTTCGTGGACAAGGGGAAGTTTGAGGATGGGTTTCGGGCATTGGTGTCTATGCCATGGTTGAAGAATGTTCCGCGAGAAGACCTGGTCAAGGTGGTTATGGACATGCCAAGAAGCGACGAGGAGGCGTGGGGCCTGATGAAGCAATGGGGATGTAATCGTCGTTTCCGAAAGCTGTTGGTCCACAAGGACTGGGTGGTCAAGTTGTATAGCGGGCCCAAGGGACAGATCGACAAGATCTTTAGGTCGATGGACTCCAACAACACCGTGGTGGTGGATGTGGATCTCGCAAGAGGACTTCAGATGGACATGTTGAAATATGAGGACGGCATCTTCAGGCTACTATTGTGGGGTGCTACAACCGGAAGGGTGGCTGCAACAATGGCGGGGCTGCCCAACCAACACTCGGATTTACATCTTCTCAAGTTGATGACCCTTACAGAAACCGCTCGAGAAGGGCGACGGCGCATATGTGAGGCGTCGGACATCCCCAACGACGGTGTGGCCACCACTATTTGGGGCTCTTCGGAGGTGGAAGAGAATCCAAGTGCCAGGGCCCTACAGCGGGGATGGGTGAAGCAATGGGTGGCGGAAACCGGTTTCAACAGGCTCTACTTCGATCAGGGTGGTTTGGGACATCCTCTACGACAACCTACATCGATGATTACCAATATGGACATTACGGAGCTACGAGGAGTTCGTGATGAGCGGACAAAGGAAGGAGAGGAGATTTACCAGTTTGCATGGGCACCTATGATGGCACACATACTGGTACGAGGGTGGAAACGGTGGAAGCAACGACCGGGATGGTATTCTCATATGGTCAAGGCACTGAGGGCGGTGGACAGGAAGGCATGGGAAAGACACCTGGCCAACGACCATGTACCACATAGACCCGATTGCCTTCAGTGTATTCATAATGCAACGGGCCGACCACACCGAAGGTGTTTACACAAGGACTGTTATGTCATGAGCGCGGACACACTGGGACCAGTGAGAGTGCCGGGACCGAAGGGGGAGAAGTATGCCATCGTGTTCACTTTTCAGTACCCGAAGCAGAAACAGTGCCCAGAAGATACTCCAATCTCCGAAGAAGACCTAGTTGGATGGGATCTGGATGTGGAGGAACCTAAGGACAGCCGCCCTGTATATGAAGAAGATGGAAAAGAGAACTTGTTTGATGAGGTGGACTTCGAGGAGTATGAGCCGAGTGTTGTTGAGGAAGCTGAGAATGAGGTTGAAGCCATCTACGGTGACGTGGACATTGAAGAACCCGCCCTACGGCCAGTTCGTACAAAGGAGGAGACACTCAAGGAGGACTGGTGGGAGTTTAGAGAAGCAGCTGGAGTGTTGATTCGTCACCATGAAGTACCTCGCAAGATGTTATTTCGTCCTACATCAACGAATGGTTGCCCGGTACATACAGCAAGGCTAGAGGACACTCGAGTTACCGAGATCAAGTACCAAGGCGGAGGTGTTGAAACAGAGATTTCGGACTGGCATGGACCTAAGTCTGGAACCAGGAGCTTGGGATCGTGTTGGACGGGAACTACGAGGTTTCGGATCTCCAACGCGGAGGTTCCTGAGGATGAAGAAGTACTACAACAAGACGAAGATCAATGGGAGAAGCTTATTGGTGATTTGGTTAAGCCGGTGGAGATGGAGACAATCTACATGGTGTATCCAGTGCGATCGAAGCGAGGAGGAGACGCAATGGTTGCCATCCAAGAAGCCGTGCTAAGGCTGAAACTTCTGGGATTCCCAGTGGCTAGACTGCACACGGACAGAGGTTCCGAATATGCTTCACGAGGACTACGGCGATGGTTGCTCGATCACGACATCTACCACACCAGGAGCGAAGCTCTAGTTCCCCAAACGAATGGAGCTGCTGAAAGGGGGGTAAGATGGTTCAAGACAAGAGCGAAGGTTCTGTTAGCCGAGGCGGGAGTCAACGTGAAGTACTGGACGCTGGCGATGCAGCATGCAGCTAATCGGCGAATACATGATCGCTTGGGTTTATCCAAACCTATGCTTCTACCCTTTGGAAGTGATGTGATGATTAGGAGGAAAGTGTTCGGCAACAACAAGAAGTATGACCTGACCGATCGTTGGGAAGAAGGAAAGTATTTGGGGATGTCGGACACCATCAAGGGCGGGGCTATTGTTCTACGACCTTCTGGACTGCTTACAGAGACGCTGAACCTCAGGACCGGGGTTGTGGATCCAAGGGTGCTGTTGTCGGCGGAAAAAGATGAAGGAGGTGGAGCGCTGTGTGATGGAGAAAGTCCCATTGTAGATCTACCTGAACCCGATCATCGCTTGAAGGGGAAGGAGACGCCACCGAACTTAGCAAAGTTGGAAGTATACAATGAGGACAAGCCCGTTGCCAGTGGTTGGAAGATGAAGTCAATGATTGATCGACAAGAACAACGAGCCAAGCTTTATTATGAGATGGGTAAGTTTGACTTGAGTTCGTGTGCCCAGGTTCTGGAGGATGTAGACACTCTGGCAAAGATGAAGTACAAGACCAGAGGGATGCAGTCAACGTCCATTATTCTGGGGGCCTATGTCCACGGTGGAATGAGAGGCGTTACCAAAGCGGGAAAGCGCCGACCCCACTTGACAAAGTATCTCAATATGGTTCTACGAATGCGCGTGGCAGAGGACTTGGGGGAGGATGGGAGCTGGACGACTATAGGGGTCTTTAAGGCTGCAGATATACCGCCTCATCGTGACCTACGGAATCACGCGGGATCGTGGAACTATGTAGTGGAGGTTGGGACCAAGTCCAAGGGAGGTTTATGGGTGGCCAACGGCAACACTGAACCTACTATTCGAGGAGGAGAAGGACTTCAACCTTTGGCGCGGGAACAACCGGATGGTAAGATTGTGTACGGCAACCTGGTGGATATCGGAGGTAGAGCTGTGGCGTTCAATGCAAAGGAACTACATGCATATCTTGTGCAAGAACCAGAAAGATGGGTGATAGCAGCGTTTACTCCTTTGTCATAGAGTCATCAGGAGGGGGGG